TTATATGAGCTATGGTTATATATAAGTATACGAGATTCTTCGACGTGTAGTACAATTGACAGGACGTCCTTTAATTAGACGATAGTAAAAAATTTACCTAAAATCTCCTTGTCTTTGTAAACTAGAACTTTTTTCATAGGCAGGTTCAAAGAGAACTAGTATTTACTTGAGAACAGAAGAATATAACAATATCATTGCTCTGTTTACTTCGGTAATACATGTCCTGTCACTTCGTCACTTATCAGTAAGTCGACGGAAGTGTTTGGGTTTCTTTTTTCACGAAACACTGTGCCGGTAAAGAAAATTAAGAATGAGTCTTTCTCTCTAGTGTTAATTTGTACTAAAAAGGACCCTTCATACATACACGTAAATACCAAACTTCCACAAATACGACACAAGAGTTTCAGTCAGGAATGAGGGTAAGCAACGGTTACCCTCATCGGAGGCCGATGGAACGTGGTACTTAGGAATAAGAGACCAAAAAATGTAATCCACCTTAGTAAACAAACGGTGTGATAATGATTACTCCCGACAAACATACCTTACACTTGAGTAATTACAGTAGTGACCATTAAGTTAATTTTGAGTTGAAAGTTTTCCCCACAGACGTCAATTAATGAATCGCAAAAAAAGACCCTGCCAAAAATCACAGAGATAATGCTTCTCTGGTGGCCACCGGTAGAACCGTGGTTAAGATCATAGACGAAGTAACTCGAATCAATTATATGTCATATGATTAAAGACTGCGTTTTTTTGTCTGTAACAAGGTGTTTCTGACCGACGACAATAAACTACCAAAACACCGTTATAAAAGGTGGTCAACTCGACTAGACCTTCTTCGGACTCTTGGTGAAGGTTTGGTGTTTCAATAGTGTCATTATAACTGCAACCTCTTTGGTTAGAATGTACATACAGACTGTTTTAGTTTTCGTAAATTTAATCCTTTATTTACGGAAAACTGGTCGTTTATGCAAAGTGTCGTTTACAAGTTATTTGGTTGACTTCTGGACGCCCGTAATGATAGCAGTCCGTTTTGTATCTCAGACTGTATGACTTAGACGGGATTACCTGATTGGGTCACTTTCTACAAAGTATAAGTGAGTCGACAAAGACTTAATCCTATTCCGTCGTTATTCAACTTCCTCTCCTGAATTTCTCGACTCAAAGACCAGTTATAGACGACTTTTTACTCACACGTGTTTTGACTTCTTCTTTGGTTTACAGGGACCGACGTCTAGAGACGGAGAGAATTCGGGATTATTTCTGCACAGAATTGTTGACTGAACCCGACTCTCTCCTTTACGGTTCGACGAGAGTTATTAAATTATCGTCATTGAGGTGTGTGGGACCACCTAGCCGCGCTCACAGTTCACTAAACATTTCAATGGTTTCCATTTACATGCAAACAATCGCCCTTGAAGTTAATTATAAAACTATTAATATATTAATTTAATTTCATTTTTGACTACTTCACCTTCATGTTCCATATTGATACGTATGTATGACTCACCGAATTCCTTACTGTCATTGGCGTGTAAAATGATGTCCATTATATGTATGGGTTTTTTACAATGTAGTAATAAAGTTTAAAGGGTGTTAACGTAAAAATAAATGCGACGTATATATCTCAGTCGTCTTTTCAGTCTGAATGAAGTAACCTTGTACTTTGGAACGATAGCTTACTTTCCAGGAAAGCTCAAGAAAATGGTTGAAACACAAAACAGCACAGTTATATAACCATTGTTTAAATTCTGAGAAAAATAGAAGACCTATCTCACATACACGTACATTTCCTGTTATTGACTCCTTCTGCGACGGTAAGTCATGTAACGTCTATTGTGAATGTGTGAAAGAAAGAAATAGTTCTTTCTGAGGGAGGTGAATGGATTGTGTGTGTGTGTGTGTGCGTGCGTGCGTGCGTGCGTGCGTGCGTGCGTGCGTGCGCGTGGTATCGACACACTACTTAAGACTGTGCAAAACGTCTATATTATAGATTTTCATGCAAGTCAAACACGTAAATCTCCTGTCTCCATTCTCTTAAGTTTTCCAGAATTGTATACAGTTATTAGGTTTTTGGGGAGACAACCTAAGATGTTCATTGTCATAACTACATTGTACTGAAGACTCAACTCTTCACCGAGATAAATGTTTCCTGCTGTCTCCTGCGTTGCTGCCACAGTCCTCTCCTTCGTCTTTTACCCCCCCCTCTCCCCCCCCTGCAGAGGTTCCTGGGTCAGGGAGTGTCTCGTTGGGAGGTGACCTCTCACCTCCCTCCTCTCTCGGTTTCCGCTCTGCTTCCTGCTGAGGGTGCAAAGGTCCAGTTCTCTCCAAGCACCATTGCTCCTCCTACATAGAGCAGTGAAGACTTCATATCATTTATGAGAAAGCTGGTACTCTTGTATAAATACTTGGGTGTGTTGATAGACCAGCTTCTATCCCAGAACAACCACATTGAATACAAATAATGCATTGTCTCAGCAGCATTAGGTCTTTGGGGCGAGTAGACAAAATCATCTTCTTGTATTTTTCTGTGTTTTTGAGTGTATTGAGTGAATACTGCATGTTCCAAGTGTCTGTCAACTGCTTTAAAGTTAAAACTGCTCCACCAATCAAACATATACAAGATATATAAAGATTGTCTCGGAATAAGACTTATTACCATTCAATTCAAGTTACAGCTGCCCCCGACTTAATCATGTTAATAGACTGACGCACTCTTTTGTGCACCAATGAATCCTTAAATAAATACAGACAAAGTCAAACGTGCGTTAAAGAGTGTTGAACATGTTTCTCTTCAGTGATGGTGATGTTATGTCAAATGTCTGTTTCCTTGTTTCCTGTCTTAACATGTTTCCTCCTTGTTGACGTTGTGTATGGCGCGACTGTGATGCTAGAACAATTTCAGGCTTGATCTGACAATTAAGTGTTATCGTATTGTAAGACAAAAGAGAAAGAACATTTGGGATCAGCGCAAGATTACAATAAATATTGCTCCTTTGAATCTGTGATTGAATTGCTGGGGTCATGTAGATTTAAGGACTAAAACATGCAGCCTCATCTCCCTGAGGAACTCTCATCAAACTGGAGTGGAAATCTGTTTAATGCGAGTCACTGTCTCTGTATCTTCTGAAACATATTCATAATTAATAGTGTATCCTTTGATAACCTGTTGCTGAATATGGATTTAGTCTTTTATTCTCATTCTTAACCTCCGATAATGTACGAATCCAACAATATCAAATGAAATGTGCCATGTTGTATGTATGTGGGTGTACATGCATGATTGCCTTCTATTGATGCATGTTTTTCTTTTAGTTGTGGTGATTTGTAGGTCTGCGTGTGAGCCTTGTGTGTATCTCTGTGAGCCTAAGGCAATCTGAAATGAAGCAACACTGAGCCAACACTGCCCCGGGCTAACTTAATATGGATGTCCTTTAACACAAACACACACACGCCTAACCAAAGCTTGATGCTGGGTTTCACATCCATTTCGTCAACTGGAAGCCACCCACCAGCGTGCAGCAGAGTGGGAGGTAAAGTCTTTATTAGAGACTGCCTGCACCACTGTTTTTTTGAACCGAGGAGATCTGACACCATTACCTTGACAGTCTGAAACAATATCACTGCTTTAAAAAAAGAAAATCTCACAATCAGGTAATGTTGTGTAGCTGAAGCTGCTGCAGGGTACTTAAATGACCTGATGTAATTGTGTGTGTGTGTGTGTGTGTGTGTGTGTGTGTGTGTGTGTGTGTGTGTGTGTGTGTACCTGTCCGAACAGACCCACGTTATCTCCACGCAGGTAGCTAAGTGCAACACTGCAGTCTGATGACGCCGAGAGAACGAGGAGTCTGTTGCCATGGAGACACGTCTCCAAGTGCATCACACGATCAAGGTGAGGACGGAAACTGCTCAGTAGTTTCGGAGGTTCGTCAGTTATTCCATCATGTAGCTCAAGATAATAATGCTGAGGGACAGAGAGGCAAAGCAGCAAGTTACTTGTACTGTTCAGGCTGGATACATAAAAATGCATTTTACTTTTATAAATAAGAGTGAAATAAGCTATGCCCCCCTGAGTTAAGCTACCGTTCCTACAGTATGTATGTCAAAGGTTTACAATACAAACGTCCAAAAACGGCAATATTTTGCTGAGATAAAAAACAGCAGATTAGCTGTAGCAAGCTAGCTAGCTAATTGAACCTTGGCTAGCTAGCTACATTGTTTTAGAAACCGATGAGTCCTTAGATCCAGATAAAAGTAGCTAAAAGCAACACTGTTTTGCTGGCTGAAATGTTAACTATCCTTAGTGAAATGTAATAATTGTTCTTGTCAATCGATACGTCTTTGATTCCAGATAGAAGTAACTAAAAGCAGCATTGTTTTGCCAGCTGAAATAAAAACCATTCTCTTTCTCAAATATAATAGATGTATCTAGCCAGCTAGCTTGTTGGACTCTTTGCTAAGGCCCACTCCTTGCTACTTCAAGTTGTAAAAGCTAGCATGAGCATTTATTTTGTTGTTGTTACTAACTACACTACCTGGAGAAATATTATAAAAAGGAATTTCAGAGTCAAGCAGACAGATATACAAGAGGGAGTCGAAGAGGTTCTACACCGGGGCCACCAAGTGATTGTTTGTTTGTTGTTTAAAATGTAATATGGGTCACACATTATAGTAAAATAAGTCCAACATTATATAAGCAAAGATTAACATCCCCATTCTGGGAAGAGGTGAAGTCAACAGTTAATAAATCTACATTAAAAAAAAGACACAACCTTGTTTGTTTTTCTGAAAGAGAAGTATGCACAAATGCAACACAGTCTCACGGCTTTTCGTGTTATAGTCACAAAATTAATCTATTGATTCGTTTTCACCAACACGATTTCGCCATTTTTTTCGTGTCACACAGAACGATTTTTAAAGCAATGTAAATAATAACAAATTAGAAGGAAAAATAGATTTAAAAAATACAGATGTCAGTATTCTGAGGCTCTGAGCCATTTATTTTCCTCGCGGACGGCAAAAAAACTCAGACATTATACAATTTAAAATAAAAGGGATAGGGTTAGGCTTAGGGTAAGATATTGAGTAAGAAAATGTTTTTATGAACCACACAGCTTCCGGTCTTCCAAGACCCGACCGGCATACTTGTCAACCCTCCCGATTTTCGCGGGAGACTCCCGATTTCATTGCCTTCTCCCGGTTTCCTCCCGGGGTCATATTTCTCCCGCATTTCTCACGATTTCTGACATAATCAGATTTACTCAGGACTGTTTCCACTCAGACTTTAATACAGCTACACAATTGTTTGGTTTCCATGGTAACACGTCTCTAGCGCGCAACTGAAAGTCTGAGAGGGTGAGGCAGATATTCACAGAAAACAGAACAAGAATCGACAACTACTCGACTCTCGCTCACTCCTTTCCTGCCCACACATATGCTCCATCAAGGATGGTGCTACAGGCATTGCACTTAGAACTACAATAAGCATGTTAATGTTAATCTAACAGCTCCGGCGATCCACGCAAATGCTGATGCCCTCTCCCCCATTTTGCATTTTGAAATGCTCCCGATTTCTGTGGTCTCAAGGTTGGCAAGTATGCCGACCGGACAAAAAGACGCGGTGCAGGCACGAAACATACTGCCAATAGAAATAGGTTACTTTTAAAATCGTTCTGTGTGACACGAAAAAAATTCGAAAATCGTGTTGGTGAACACGAATCAATAGATTAAATTAATTTCGTGACTATAACGCGAAATGCTGTGAGCCTGGGTTGACATGTTATCAACACTAATACTTTGGCATGTTATGTAAGATGTGAAGTCAACACAAACTACTGAGATATATCACTGGTTCTGAACTGCAGAAATATCACCTCTGAGAGCACTGTACAGTATACTGCGCAATCATGTTAGTCAGCCAGCTGATTACAAACTTGCCACAGGACAGGATCTCTACTCGAGCACTGAGCTTGTCTAACTTCTTCAACTATGCTACATATATACATAAATCTCCATAAATTAAACTGGGAACCAAATGAGACGCACTCATCTGAATTCATCCCCTCTTATAAACTGTGACAGAGAGTTGAGCTCTGAATATTGTGGCAATAATACCCGTGAGGGTGTTCTTTTACTGCGATTATTAGCATGACAGTGATGAAGCTACGCCTTATAGCCTACCAATGATACGATCCAAGTCTCCATAATCAGAGTCAAAAAGTCAGAAGGCCTCTCTGAGTTATCAGAAACTCTTCAGCTATCAAACATGTGTTTATTTAAAAAGTTCATGTGCTGAAGGGAATCTCCAAAGAGCTAAATTATCATGCAATAACGATTTAATCCTCCAAAACCTGTCTTTCTTTTACACATACACTTCAATATGTTAAAAGGGGAATGCTAATTTCAAACAATACTCCTCCCATTTATTTCAACAGCTTCTGCAACTCAAAATAAAATACCAAGGAAGATGATACCAATAGATGTTTTTTAGATGATTGACTGGACTGCTCAAGCGAGCTTACGTCAAAATTCAAGCACAGTCTGTCATTTAGACGAGTAAACACAAAAAGCCGGATTCCTCTTAAAAATGGAGGTTCCCTCTTAATTCCCTTTTAATGTCATGGTGTCATGCAGCTCGGACACAATAACACAAGTGATTGTGACGGAGACCCACCTCTATGTCCCAGGTCTTGAGTGTCCCCTCTCTATCAGCTGTGACTACATATTTCCCGCAGGGACTGACGGTCATAACAATAGACCCCAGGTCGCTGTTGTGAGCTGTGAACTGTCCCACCAGACGGCTGTGGGCACTGTTCCAGAGTCTGACCACACCTGAACCTCCACAGGACACCAAGTCTGCACCGCCTGTTGGAAATGTGGGAATATACAGTGTTAGGTTAGTGAATGTTTTACAATGCAAACACACATTGTAGACTCAATCAGTGTGAGGAACAGGGTCTAGATGCTGATTGTTTACCTATAGCTACAGAGAGAAATGCATCAGTCACACTAAAATACAAAACTCAAGCATCCACAGGATATTTAAAATAGAGCCAGAGAGAAAAGAGAGTTTTGAGGATTGCATATGAACAGAAGTACAAAATAAATAATTGGAAAACTGGAAGCAATTTCAGAAAATCCAACAATCATTGATGGGAAGCTACTCTACGCGGTAACAAAGCTCAACACACCCGAAGCCTTACTGTCTTAGTAACGTGCAAACACAGAGTGCATCTGTGTATTGCAACAATAAAAACAAGGCAGTATATGAATTTATTTTGCTTTTCAAAAAAGGCTTTTGATTACAGAACTCGAATTGAAGGCTATAACAAAATATCTCAAATTACAGTATACTATTTTGTGGAAGAATATACGTTTAAATAGACTTCTGCTTTAAAATATTAAGGCAGAATCAACACATATTTTGGACTTGAATTGATTTTAGTAAAAGGAATTTTGTTTGTATTTATTTTGGAGGAGCTCCTGTGTGGTACTTGCATTTTTACACAAACAATATCCCACATATTACAGAACCTACTTTAACAAACAAGACACAGTTTAAGGTTGATATGTGAAAATGATACGAAAAAAAAAAGACAGATTCCTGAGGATAAAATGCAGAATGAATCTCAGAATCCTACATTTAATCTCAGAATTCTGAGATTAAATTGAGAACTCAAAGAAAATGTTTCCATGTGGCCCGAATCCTCTTCGGTAGGATTATTCAGTTCATTTTTAGTTTTCAATATTTCACCTTTAGGTGTGCGTCCCGGTATAAAGAACAGTCTAGTGACGGCGATGGAGTTATCAGCATCTTCTTTTCCATTCACACCAAGATGAGTATCTGGGAAATCAGTATAGCAAAGCATTGAGAAATACAGAACATGTAAGAAAGAGCAGCTGATCACAGGCAGAAAAGCATTTACTTAAACGTTTCAAAATAAAAAATGTTGCATTTGTGTGTGAAATTGAGCCTTCTTGCCTTCTCTGTGTTCAGTAAGTGGCTGCAGTTTCTTCAAAGCGTTTTCTGTGCTGCTGTTCCACTCGATAATCTCTCCATCATAGCTTCCTGCACACATGAGAAGCAAAACATTGTGCAAAAGCTTATGATACATATTTAAAGTATTTTTGTAGCGGTAAAAAGACAGCAAAAACAGCCAGGCCGGGATCAAATTGTTAAACAACAGTTATTATTATTTTTGTAGATAAAACATCCCTGTTTGTCATCGGTTCACCTTGGCTAACAATGACGTTCCATATCCAATTGTATTTGTTGTAAACACTTTTTCGCATAAGTTTCCTTACAGGTGTCCATGGTCATGTTTCCTACAGGTGTCCATGGTCATGTTTCCTACAGGTGTCCATGGTCATGTTTCTTTACAGGTGTCCATGGTCACGTTTCTTTACAGGTGTCCATGGTCATGTTTCTTTACAGGTGTCCATGGTCATGTTTCTTTACAGGTGTCCATGGTCATGTTTCTTTACAGGTGTCCATGGTCATGTTTCTTTACAGGTGTCCATGGTCATGTTTCCTACAGGTGTCCATGGTCATGTTTCTTTACAGGTGTCCATAATCACATTTCCTAGAGGTGTCCATGGTCATGTTTCTTTACAGGTGTCCATGGTCATGTTTCCTACAGGTGTCCATGGTCATGTTTCCTACAGGTGTCCATGGTCATGTTTCCTACAGGTGTCCATGGTCATGTTTCTTTACAGGAGTCCATGGTCATGTTTCTTTACAGGTGTCCATGGTCATGTTTCCTACAGGTGTCCATGGTCATGTTTCTTTACAGGTGTCCATGGTCATGTTTCCTACAGGAGTCCATGGTCATGTTTCTTTACAGGTGTCCATGGTCATGTTTCTTTACAGGTGTCCATGGTCATGTTTCTTTACAGGTGTCCATGGTCATGTTTCTTTACAGGTGTCCATGGTCATGTTTCTTTACAGGTGTCCATGGTCATGTTTCCTACAGGTGTCCATGGTCATGTTTCCTACAGGTGTCCATGGTCACGTTTCTTTAGTGGTCATGTTTTCACTACTTCAACTGAAACTTGACTTTGTTTTCTAGCATATTAGAAGGGAGTTTTAATGTTGTCCACTTTACTATAATAACTTTGTACTCCATTAACTTTCGAAAGGTGAAGGACAGTTTACCTGAATCCACTAAATGTTGCCTTTCGTTCAAC